GCTGAATCTGAGTGAACATGAACTAGGAGACACACGAGTGAATCAGATCACTGCTCTACTACAGGATAAACACTGTAAACTCAACACACTGATGTGAGTATTGTGTTAATTTATTATTGTAGATATACAGTATGTTATAGAAATCAGGTGATCAAAACACAGTAATTCTCAGTAATCACTAAATGTTAGCATGCATGCACTTTGTGTTTGTAAATTCTCTCTCTCATGTTTAATATTTTAGTCTGCATAAGTGTGGTCTAACAGAGGAAAGCTGTTCAGCTCTCGCTACAGTCCTGAGATCAAACTCCAGTCTGAAAGAACTTGACATGAGCAACAATAATTTGCAGGATTCAGGAGTGAAGAAACTCCAGAACGGATTAGAGAATACAAACTGCACACTGCAGAAACTCAGGTGAGTTCAATGAACGAATATTTAATTTTAATAATAATATAGTTTTTGTATTAAGGTGATTATACACAGGGCAACTTTTTGAGCAGTGTTGCCAAGCAATGTTGTTTGGGCACTTTCCCATTGAGAATGGGCAACAAATTTCTGTCTGGATAATTAGATCAGTCGTGGGCCCTGTGTGTGGTTGCCCGTTGATAGCATCATTGCCCAGCAATATTTCTCAAAAAGTAGCTTTGTGTATCATAACCTTTAGTTTGTTTTGTTTTTTTTCCTCAAATGTTTTATGAAATAATGTTAAGTATGTGTTTTAAGGTTTATCTTACAGTTTTTACTAAGAATTATTTTTACTCTCAAAGTTTAAACTTGATTTTCTTAAAAATAGTGTGCATACATGTTACTCACATATCACTGTAGCACAGTTTGTGCTGAATGTAGTGTGATGAGACTTTTGCTGTTAACTCTTTCACACAAGTTTAAAATATTCTAGCTGACCCTCCAGCATAACCTTATTATATCCACGGCGACGCGTCATTTGTCACGTGACACACTACAGCCACAGTAGTGCTGTATGACAGATTTTCAGATCATTTCTATTTAGTTTTTCCTTTTTTATTCAAAATATTCACAAACTTGTTAACTATGCCAATTATCTGATATTCCGATTCTCAAGTATGTGTTTTGTCGTTTACAAACCTTTATAATGATCTTGTTAGTTGATTTATAATGCATGATGGGCGCTACCATATTAGTTTGTGTTGCAATTCAGAGAATCGTATCTGTCAGATTTACAACACGTAAATTAATCTATTTCTCCCAAAATACATGAAAGAAAGTGGCTGGTGAAATGGGAGAAAAATAGAGGGAACTTTATAGTTACCACAATGTGTATCCGATATGAATAAACAACGTCATCAAATTATAATTGAAAGGATTGTTATTGCCGCTTCCATAGACATCAGTGTGTATTTTACAAATGTACATAAATGTATTGTTTTGCTAGCACTTATGTGTATTTAAATGTCTGAAGCCTAAAATAAATATTGTGTGGCTGAAAACACTGCATAGTTGAGATATATGACAAGTGCTGAGCGTGTCTGTTTCTGACTCAGTGTCAGCCAAAGCACGCAAGCACATTTTAATCTGGCAGTTATGTAACGTGTATTTTAAATCCCATATGTGGGACCGTAATCCCAAGAGCACACAAATGATGTCATAATAACGATCTCACAATAGAAAATAAATAATAATGGCTGTATATTAAAAAAGGTCAAATCTCTTTTCTGTAGTCTTTCAGACTGCAGTATCACTGAAGATGGTTATAAAGCTCTGGCTTCAGCTCTGAGATCAAACCCTTCACACCTGATAGAGCTGGATCTCACAGGAAATGATCCTGGACCATCAGGAGTGAAGCAACTTGATGATTTACTACAGGATCCAGACTATTCGCTGAAAACACTAAGGTGAGCCGTGATTAAATGATACAATGACTTGCTGTTGAATTAATACACATTATTATTTCACTAATGCAATCTGTTGCATTAAAGTAAATTCAAGATAAACAATTTCTCATTTCCCATCAGAATCAGATATTATTTTTATTACACCAAGTTTAGTTGAATTGAATTGTGCTTCATCATGTGTTCTGCAGGTTTTTGGGTACTGCTGCAGATGAAGCCTGTCAGGATGTGAATAGAGTTCTGGGTGAAAACCTGTTACTCCTGAGAGAACTGAATCTGAGTGAATTTAAACTAGGACATTATGGATTAATGAAACTTGCTACGGTACTGCAGGACAAACACTGTAAACTCAACACACTGATGTAAGTTTTATCATTATTATGACAATTTTAATACTTATGAACTTGCTGTTGGATGTTTTATGTATTGTTTACCAGAGAGTCTTGACTTATAACTATTGGTAAATATTTAGTTGTTGTTGTTATTGTTAATGGTGTTACTGTGTTTCCTCTTAACACACTCTGAATAACAGCGATATCACAGAAGAAGATTGTCGTTTATTGGCTGAAGCTTTAAATTCAAACCCTTCAAATCTGACAGAACTGAATCTGAGTGGAACTAAACTCAGAAACTCAGGAATGAAGATCTTCTCGACTCTGTTTAAGAATGAACAATGTAGACTGAAAAAACTGAAGTAAGTATTTTAGTCCATTTGTAAAACAAAGGCCAACTACTAAAAATACTTTTATCATGAAATTCTCATATTGGTGGACTAAAGTAGTAATAGCCAAATCTACTAGTTCCATAATTATATGTATAGCTTATTTGTTTACTTTCTTATACAGGTTTAATTGCATCAGTATTACAGCAGAAGGTTGTGCTGCTCTGGCATCAGCATTTCATTCAAACCCTTCAAACCTGATAGAGCTGGATCTGAGTGGAAATAAACTAGAAAACTCTGGAGTGACTGAAATCTCCAATCTACTGGCAAACTCTCAGTGCACACTGCAGATACTCAGGTTTGAATTTGGTGAATTTAAACATGAACAGAAAATTTCTGTCAGCAATATCACCTTTGTACGTAAACCATTTAGTATGTATTTGTCTTGAAACATTTCATAAATATTGACACATGCACATTTTTGGAGAGCTGAGAATTATAAATATTGTAATCTGAAAAATTAAAACTTGTTTTTACTAAATGAGTAACAACATTTGAGACTTTATTTTCTTGCTGTTGTTTTTTGCCTCTAGACTTTCAGACTGCAGTATCACTGAAGAAGGTTATAAAGCTCTGGCTTCAGCTCTGAGATCAAACCCTTCACACCTGATAGAGCTGGATCTCACAGGAAATGATCCTGGACAATCAGGAGTGAAGCAGCTCAATGATTTACTACAGGATCCAAACTATCAGCTGAAGACACTGAGGTGAGACATGATGAAATAATGCAAAATAAATTATGTAGCAAGTTAATTATTTGTAGAAATTTTATTTCTGTAATAAAGTGTTTCATAACAGTTTAACACAATTTAACACTGTTTACCATCTGAACCAGATGCTGTTTTTCATTACCTCAAGATTAGTTTAATTGAATCCTGCTTCATCTTCTCTTCTGTAGGTTTTTGAGTCCTGCTGCAGATGAAGCCTGTCAGTATGTGACTGGAATTGTGGGTAAAAACCCGTTACTCCTGAGAGAGCTGAATCTGAGTGAACGTGAACTAGGAGGCACACGAGTGAATCAGATCGCTGCTCTACTGCAGGATAAACACTGTAAACT